ATATTTAAATTTATTTAAATATTGAAATTTCTTTGCATCTGTCGTATCGTTACGCTGTTCTTATCATAAAACAAATGCAAAGATGTCAAATGTTAGAGGAAACAACTGATGAAGTACTTAATTATCTAATTAATGAAGAAGTCATTGCACTAATAACGTAATAACATTTTTGAGGGTCTTTCATTATTTATTACGTTTTGGTTTTTAGTTCGAAACATTTAATTTTTGATGCAAAGTGGTATAATAAATATCACAAAATCGCATCTACTCAAAATATTAATGCTTCATTCCTTATACGAAAATTAGTGGCGTTTTGAGTGAAGGCTACAGCCTCATAAGTATACATTACCTTATAAGGTACATTGTACACTCACGCCAAAAGTTCTTAGTGAACGAATTTTTTTCTAAAATTAAGCATGCTATAATTTAAATTTTTCTGAAATATTCGTAATTACATTTGATTTATTGTATTCGTCGAGCATCCAATTGTCGTACCTACATCGATAAATATCTATTTTTATATAAGGAATGGAGCACTAAAACTTTAATTAGAGTACTAAATTATCACTAAAAAAGTACTAAATTCTCTTGTGAATCGTATTGCGATTTTGCGATGTGGGTGTGCTAATTAATCCTATGTTTAGAAATAAAAATATGATGAAAATGTAACATCTACTTCTGACAATTTGGGATGAGTAAATGATAAAAATTCTTTATTAAAAAAATTTCTTACCACGAAAGATTGTTTCGGGCTTGAAGATGGAAGTGAATTTGTTAAGTTAGCTTGCTTTACCTATTATTTCGCTGCGTTAACATCATTCAATCCTGAATACACGGTTAAAGCTGCTTTATAGGGATTAGAATAGATTTTTGGCACCTCGTGATTTTTAAAATCCAAGATCATTGCCAAGTTCACATTATTACGCATTCATTGCAATGCACCATTCTTATAACTCGTGTTCAAATATGTATGGACCCACGTATATAATCATTCTAATCTTAATTTTAATGATTGTTAGAGCTTAGATACAAAGAACAATGGGATAAGAACAACAACAACTCAAAAATCATAATTTAATATTGCAGGGTTTCGCACCCTAGAAATAACCCTCAAAATTATCTTATAGGCATAATCCCACTTTAAATGACTCTTGCAGCTACGATACAAAAAATTATTGTGGGACAAGAACAACTTCCACCGAAAAATAATAATTTAATATTGGAGGGTTTCGCATCCTAGAAATAACCCTCAGACCTTTTGACGAATTATCTCATAGGCATAATCCTACTTTAAATTACTCTTAGAGCTAATATACAAAAAATTATTGTGGGACAAGAAAAAATCTAACTCAAAAATCATAATTTAATATTGGAGGGTTTCGCTCCCTACAACTAATTTTTACACCTCCACTACATCACCGTAATAAAAAATATCTATATCGAAAGCAAAATGCAAAATAAACTGTAGTTGATACAAATGAAAAATTTTTATTCGAAAGAAAGTGTCTGCAGGGATTTTGTCTTGTTTAAATAATATTGTAGTCACCCCTTCTCTTTCTCTATTTTTTTATTATTCGCGAAGTATCAACTAAGATTCTGCACCCTATAAATAAGCCTCATTCTAATGGGCGTAATTCTACTTTGAACGAGTCTTAGAACTAAGATACAAAAAATACTGCAGTTTGTAACAGATTATAAAATTATAAACAACTAGGCTGAAATATATGTGTAAATGAATAAAATACGCAAATGAATATGATTTGTTATTGTGTCATATTTCAGATTTCTTCGTCAAATAGTTTTTGAACTAATTGTATTACCTCTTATGATACAATTAGAAGAACTTTTATCTAGGTATATACGTATTCATTGGAAGATCACATTAAACAACGAGTTATCTTGTTGATGTGCTTTACAGGCATCACGATTTTATGGTACATTTTGTTTTTTTTTTTTTTGAAACGGTTACGCAGATATCACGTAATGACGAACCTGATGAATGAATTTAGCTATTTGTGAATACAAAGTTCATTTGCACAGTTTATATTGTACTTTGTACAAATTTTGGCGCTTAAAAACGTATTTTGTTTTGTAGTAATCGGTTTATTGCTTTAGTTTTACGTAAAAGTACTTCCCACATAAAATAAAGTCACGAGAAAGGTGTAACGGTATATAAAGTGTAGTAATTTTAAAAATACCCTGCATAAGGAAAATGAGAAATAGGTAGTTTTAGAATGAGTATGAGAACAGAGGGCTAGGTGCCCTTTCTCAGATATGAAGGCCTCGTTAGACACATATTAGAAGCAGAAACGGGAGTTAAGAGAGGCAGAGGTAGAATTAGCTATCTTTGTTTTAGATAAAAGAAAAACTATTTCTAATTCAATATATTATAGTATAAGGTCAGTTATTGTTATTATTTGTGTTTTGAGGATGAAATAAGTATTACATGTTGCGTGCCTTTGACGTGTTTCTTTTTGTACACAATTTGTATGCGGATGTGTACGTTGCCCTTCGAATTTTTATTATTAGAACAATAGTTGGTCAGTTATTTCAAGGATTTCTAAAAATACTTTGAAGTTTCACTCACAAAAGTGAAATGATTGGGTTTTTTAATTTTTACTTTGCGAACAATTTTGACAAACTTTTTAAATTTGTTTGGTGTTCTTTTTGTGAAACATTTTGAAAAAGAAAATAAAACACATTGAAGGACATTCAATTACAATTAAAAAGATTTATTAATTCTCAACGATTTTTTGGGTTGATAGTGACCATTACTTAGAGAAGTACAAAATCGATCAAGATCAAGAGAAATACAGAATTGATCAATGATTACTGTCGACTGGAAGTGAATTAATTGAGAATTAATATTTTTTTTAAGGAAGTTAAACTGCTCCCGTGTGCTCTATTTCTCTTTTATATATTCTTTTTGATGCAATATTTTCAGATGCCACAGACCTAGAGATTCATTGTTTTCATGGACTTCAGGTTTTAATAATTTCACAGGTTTCGTAAATTGGGCGTTTTTGTTACTATCAATAGGAGGTGTTCGGTTACTACTTGAAAATTTTATAAAGTGAGTAGTATTTGTTTGCAAAACATACAATTGCAATAAGCGTTTTACCTTCTCATATTTCCCAATAACAATATATTAACAATATTGTCTTGTAACCTTTGCTTTGACTCACTCATGCTTTTATAAATTACTCATACTTGCACGGTGTTTCTCAAATTTTATTTTGTTCTATCTTTTAAAAATTGAACTAAAGGGTATACATTTGCTTTGTTTTTAATATTGTGTTTAGGTTATCGTCTACAATTGGGAGCATTTTTGGACTTTATTTTCTGACAAATAAATTAAATTATTTATTAGAANTGCTATGAAACATTTTAAATAATAAGTGTATAAGTAGTTGCTTTCTAATGTGTCAAGAATTTTATTGTTTAGATCTCTATAATTGTTTCGGTTTATTGAATGTTTATTATCTATTAGTAAAAAAATTCTTTAACTGTTTATTGTTTAGAATTTAATTTGTTTAAGCGCTAATAATGTCCACGTTTTCCTCTGTGTGTAAATTACATTCTACTTCAGATTTGAGCTTTTTTTGTGGGAACAATTTACCATTAATTATGTGATTACATTGTCCCGATCTTCTTATTTTAGATACGGTATAAGGGTTGATCCGATACAATGGATTTATTTTTTGAGCGGAAAAGATCAATCCGATGGAGAACATCCATCATTGATTTTATTGTTGTGTAAGTGTTAATGTCTGTTTTAAATATGATACTTTATTTCGAACAAATAGCATATGTAGAGTAAATGTCGATCTAAATTTTAAAAAACGCAATATGTAGTGATAAATGCCACACCCTTATTTTGTATGTTTTTTTCAGATACAATTGCGCCAGTTTTCTTTTGTTTAATAACAGAAAAAGCATTATCAGTTGTAAGTATAAAGTTAAAGCTTATGAATCAATTTAATCGATAAAAACAGTTACAAAGGCAAATTTTATTTGCTACGAAAATTTTAGGGATTAATACCTAACAATCCAGGAATGGTAGTCCATGTTGTAAATTTGTTAGTATTGGTACTGATTCCCATAGTGGCAATCCAAGTTAAAGATGGTTTTAGTCTGAGTAGGTGTTTTCAAATTATAAATCGTAATTTTTTATTTAGTAAAAATACTTGACATTTTAGTTGGTGCATCAACGGTCAGCTACGTCTACAGCGTTTTGTTTTTGAAATTGTGGTCGTATGTTCAGGTGAACATGTGGTGTAGGATAGATAGGAACTTGAGGTCTAAAACTACGCTAAAAAGGCAATACGCTTCTTATGGACAGCTGCCTAAAAGTAGGTTAAAATTTTTGGTACATGCCCAAAATTTTCGTCTATATTTGGACTGTCTAAAACAGGCATCCGTCTTTCTTTAATTTCTTTCATTTGATCTTTCCCTTTTTATCTCATTATCTTTTCGACTATTTATTTCCGAAATGTCAGCATCGACTATTCCAATATCCAAATTGGGTGTGGGACTACATAATGGTTTTTGTTTCATAATTCTTCATTAGTACATGAAAATTTATTTGGTGTAGAAGTATTACGAAGCATATGAAAACACCAAATCCATATTATTACTTTAAAAGTTTAAAAAGTCTTTGAGTGACTTCTAGAGATGAATATGTTGAGTTTCAAATTGGAAAAAATCCATAATTTTTGATGTAGGAAACAATGAGGCCAAAAATAAAATATTATTTGCATATTATAAAAATTCCTGGATGATTTTTAACCGAGTTAATAAATGGAGAGGTCTCATAATATGTCAAAAACATATGCTTTTAAATACTGATCGAAAATAAAAATATATTGCGCCCCTTCTTCCGTTGTTAGGAAAAAAATGATTTTAGGCGATAGTAAGAGCAGTACAAATTCTGATGATTTGGAAGATACCGAACAATGCTTGGTCCATTATCCAGACAATTTAACCTTAAAGGATCTCGTTTATTTTATTCTCGCCCCGACACTCTGCTACGAACTGAATTTTCCGAGGACTTCGAGAATTCGGAAGCGTTTTCTTTTAAAACGAATATTCGAGGTCCTTATAGGCGCTCAGTTGATTATGGTGGTTATGCAGCAATACATGGTACCTTGTGTTAAGAATTCTTTGATTCCTTTCAGCAATATGGACGTGACTCTAGCTACAGAGCGTCTTCTGAAGCTTGCCGTACGTTGTTCAGGGCTGAATATTGTTCCTTTAATTTGTAGATATGCTTTTGCAGCTTCCAAACCATTTATTATGGTTGTGCGGTTTCTATTTGTCATTCCATTCATTTCTTAATTTAATGGGCGAGTTGCTTCAGTTCGCTGATCGTAATTTTTATTCGGATTGGTGGAATGCCAATAATATTGATACTTTTTGGCGTACATGGAATATGCCGGTACATCGATGGGCCCTTCGTCATCTCTATTTTCCACTTGTAGAAATGGGTTATGGACGAAATGTGGGCAGCACCACTGTGTTCTTTATCAGCGCATTTTTTCACGAATACATGGTAAGTTTATAAAATATCAGGCTAGGATAAGAGTCGGACTTGCGCCCCATGGCTCCCATAACTTATCAACTACATACGCTGTATTTTCTTTAATCCCCGCTGTATTATTTTGACCCATTACAATGTTCAGAGATAATAAGTGAAGTCAAAAAATCAACAGCATTTTTTATTATACAAAAATCAGAGACAAAATTAAAAAAAAACTAGACCCATTAAAATTTTGCAATTCCATTTCATTTTGCTAAATAACTCATACTTAGAGATGCAGGAACTTTTGCATCAAAACTAATAAATTTCGAATCAGTACAACCTAACCTAACCCTAATCTAACTTTTAAAAGGTGCATTACATTAAAAAAAAAAAACGAAATAGGTAAATATAAATAAAATTTATTTTTCAATCATTTCCAGTTCGAATCACCAAAAAGTTTATTAGATAGGTATAATTTGTCATTTAGCAAAATGGACTGTCCCTGCAAATTTTCAAGACAATCGGAGGACTCCGATTTTTAGGAATTTCCAATTAATTGAATTGATAAAATTGTATTATATTTTGTAATTTTGTCATCATCATGAGGTCGTCAGTCCTAATCTTCGCATTTCCCTAAAACTAGAACAACTCATATTCTTAACTATTTGCGAGTCTAGGTCTATCTCTACCCTTCCTAACTCCCGTTTCTGCCTCTGATATGTCTCTGACTAGACCTTCATGCCTGAGAAGGTGTACTACTAACCTATATCGCCTATTTCTTATTGACTTCCATAGAGTTCTCTGTTCTCCTATTCTTTCTAATACCTCTTCATTTCAAACTTTCTCTATCCACGGTATCCTCATCATTCGCCTATAACACAATACATTTCGAACGCTTCTAACCTTTTCTTTTCCGCTGCGCCTACTGTCCATGTTTACCACCCGTACAAGGTCGCGCTACAAGCATACACCTTTAACAACCTTTTTTGAAATTTCTAAATTAACCGTTCGCGAGCATAGAAGTGATTTCTTTTTATTGAAGGCGATTCGACCCTGCGCTATCCGCTGCTTTATATCCCTATTACTCCTTCCGTCCTGACTTATCTGACTTCCTAGATACCTAAAATCAGCCATTTCTTCTAATTTTTCGTCTCCTATCTTTATATTCGCTCTTTTCCTACTTTTTCTTCCCTTGCATCCCAGTATTTTTGTTTTACTTTTTTTAATTTTGTACTCTTCTTAAAAAAGGTTAGCGTGCCCCTTCGTACGTTTAAAATTTGGGCATTTATGGGTATGATGGGCCAAATTCCATTATCCTACCTGTCAAGATACGTAGAGAAGAAGTTGGGTGACCGCATGGGCAATGTTATAGTGTGGGCATCTATAATTATGGGTCAACCGTTATGTATAATGATGTACTATCACGATTACGTAATTACGCATTTCAGTGATGCTTTGGAAGATTTTAGTCACGTGTAGAAGTGACAGCAAATTGAGTCTGCACGTTTGATTACAAACGAGATTAAAAACTTAAAATTGAGTTACCTTTTTTTATAACATCACAATTTTTGTGGTCGTGGTGTTGGTCGATTAGAGTGATGGTTTGGGTACGTGCATTTGTTTTTGAATTGGTGCCGATAAGGTCATTTAAAAGTTGTTCACGTTTGATTTACCTACTTATAATTTTAAAATTAGTTCTATAAATATTGTAGCTACAACGATTTTGTGATTTGTAAATATGCATTTAAAATTGCAATTAACATTTATTAAGTCTGCAATTATATTTTATATTAACGTTATACAACTTAGTTATTGATTGTTTATTAAGAAATGTTATTGCCAAATTGTTTATAACCTTTATTAAAATTAAAGTATATGCCTCATTTCTGCCTTTGGTGTTTTATCTTTCATTTATTTTTATTACAAGATATTTCTCATGGATAATTGAATGTTATAAAGTATTATTATCAGTTTTCGGGCTTTTGACTGTCGTCTAAAGATTTTATTCTCAACATTCCGTCGACACGTGTGGATGACATCTTCAGGAGTTCTTCTTCCAAGGGTGGTAGGTTGAATAAAATAAGTTAGTAAACTTAAACTAAAAAGGAGACACTAAACTTTTTACATATTTCGGATACCTAACTGTGCCAAGTCTTACTACGTAGATATTTCTGAAATGGCTGGATTATTTGACTAATTCTGGCCTAATAATCATTTTGAATAAACTGGATAGATATTATTGTACTTACACAATAACGACGGGATAGTACAAATAATATCCAAATTAATTACTTTTGTTTTAGCGTCTATCCTATATAATTATAATGAATATTATGTATTTGTTTAATTTGTATGTTGAAATTTTATTATTAAGGAAGATATGTGTAATAAAATGTTACGAAAAAAAAGGACTTTAAAATATGACAGGTAGAGAGAAATACAAATTATGGAAACGTTTTCAAAATTAAATTGTCATTATAAATTGTACGGTGAGCTACACCTTTGTTAATTTTAAGTTACATATTAACGTGGACGTCTTGAGTCCTGTAAAAATGACATCTCATTTAGTTTCTGACGCGCATGCTATTTTTCATCTTTTCCCGCTTAGGAAGTCATTAAAAGCTTTTGATTTGGACTAAGTAATAGATAGATTTTGCATCGTTAAATAATTTTACATTAAGTTATGGTTTTTAATATTACTTTTTATCAGGGTGGGCTATCTACTGACCTTGGCTCACCTGGATTCAGCCTTAATTACGTCACTGATGGACATCTTCCATTTTTAAAAATAAATTAAATATTTCTTTTTAGATTAATTAAAAAAGAGGAAATGTATGCAAGATATTATTATTATTATTTATTCATCTTTGCTTTCCAATTTAATGGTAATCAATACTTTTAAAACAAAACATAAAAATAGCCTCCGAAGGGGGTAATTTTTAAGCACTATATGAATGTCGATGTAATATGCTATAATTTTACGTACAATTAAATTGATTGTAGGTAAGAGAAATCGCACTATTACTTGTACTAGATAAGTAGATGCTAGTGATTTCTTTTTCATGAAGCAAAAATGAAGATATCCACGGGTGTATTTTAAATTATACAGTAAATTCAAAAGTACATGCTATGGTCTTAATACGTACAAATTTAACATTTACTTCCTATTATAAAGGATCTAATTTAAACAAGCAGTCGATAAAAAGCTAATAGCTAAGAAATATGTTCCTACAACCCTCTCACACATGAGCCGTGTTAACGTGCGCTTATCTAATAAATATATTCAAATTGTATCATCATTCTGATCGTTAACAGTTGACGACTCGCTAACTAGATCCACTACGAGTGTCCTCAGAATACTGTTGTCTCTCAAAGAAAAAGCAGTCCATATTTACAAATTAAAATGGCTAAAAAGCAATTACAAAAAATTACGGAAACTTACATTTCTGACACGCAAGGGTATTTTAGAATGTGTCTTATCGAATCAAACGACACTGGCATTGTTTTTTATGTAAAAAAGGCCGTTGCTATCTATTGTTTCGTTGGCCAAATCATCCTTTTAATGTTAGACTGGCCGCAAAATGAGAACACCGCAGATCTTGCCTTCTCAGTTATTATTACGACTACTTTTATGCTTTTTGATATTGCAGTGTTACAGTGGCATTTCAAAAAGGACGAAATTTTAAAAACAATTCGAAAGATTGACAACTGTATAAGGTTTGAAAATGAAAAAATCATAAATATTGCTACAAATGATAATAAATTCAGAAAAACAATAACAAGGTTGATCTTCTTCTCTCTTTCGTTTCTTCTGGCTTCTGTTACAGTTATCTGGTTGTATGAACTTTTATTTGATTACGAACGTTATTACAAAGTCATTGAAAATGGTAATGCGACCACTAAAAGATACATTCAAAGGTATGTTGTTCAAAGTTGGGTACCCTTCGATTCTACCGCATCGAGATTGAATCACTTCCTAACTGTTGCAATTACCTTAGGGCCACTTACGTTCCTCGTAACAGGTTTTTCTGGTACGTATTGGATAATACAAAATTTTTAACAAAAACTAAATGACAAATTTTAAAAAAATAATTTTATATTGTTTGTCTTGTTTTTCAGCGGTCGATTCATTGTTTATTGGACTTACGACGTATGCTTGTACCCATTTCAAAATTTTGAAATATATTTTAGAAAACATTGACGAATTTGAAACGGATAGAGCTCCAATAAGCAACGATAATAATTTAATTTTGGAAGAAAAAATAAAAGCGGCAGTTATTTATTTGGATGAATTATTGGAGTAAGAAGCGTGATTAGATTTTACTCAAACATAAAAGCTTTTTTTTGTATTACAAAGAAGAGAAATCATTCTAAAGTAGGGTCTTTCCAGACTGGTCACCTGAGATACTTGCAGGAGTGAATAGAAGGAGTCTCAAAATTGACCAATGAATGTTGATTTGATTGTTATGAGTAATTTCTTAACGGACTTTGATGCTTAATAAGAACATGAATGAATTTTGCTAGTACAACTCAAAAAGTTCTAATTAAAAGTTGAAAAAATTCAAGTTCTTTTAGTGAGATGTTGAAATTATATTATAATGAATGTGATATTCGAATTCATCATGCTCAAACTAGGTATATGTTTACAATTGGAGACAAAGTTTTTAATATTGATCTACTGAATGAGTACTCGAAGGACGAAGGATCTCGCTAGATCCTTACGGAAAGTGGCCTTCAACCAAACTCTTTGAAACGCTGGATTCTGGTAGTTCTCGACGTGCAAATCAAAAGTATCAATTAAAAATTAAAACTTTTGATCTACAAAGGGCCATTTTCTGTAAGGCTCCACCGGCTCATTTGCATTAGAAAGATTTCTTTCTTTTTTTAATTAAGCAGCCATTTTAATTCAAAAAACGACAATATAGTGCTCTATACGTAGTAAAAATATAAATAGATATGTACTATTCATTTGGATTAATTTTTTTAAATACGATTCGTAGTTTTTGCGAATCCATACGAAAATTATATGATATCCAGATGCTATTTCAAATAATGTGGGCAAGTAGCTTTTTTGGCCTATCCCTTATCATGCTGTCACAAGTGAGAATTAATGAGGTGAACATACGCTTTAAAAGATTATATGAATTATTATTTAAGGTTTCTTCGACAGATCCGAAGTTTATGATGGATTTTTTAACTATGGTTATTGGAACAGTTGATAGGGTGTTCTTTTGTTGCTACTACGGAAGTAAACTAACATTTACTGTAAGTCGAGCATCACTTAAACGTATTAATAGTAGTGTTTTAAGTTAAGAAAAGGTTTAAAATCGGGAATTTCGCAAAACGTTTAGAAATCTAAAACGCGTTTCGATACCCTAGGTTCTATCCTCAGATGGAGACTAAATTAATGTTAAGTCAAAACCTGTTTCTATTAATTTCGCATAAAATATAATTAAGTTGTCTATTCCAAAAAATGGATCAAAGAATCTGTATCAAATCGTCGAATTACTGTTAGAGATATTTACCCATGAGACGGGTCGTCACGAAATTCGTACCATAATAAAAAATAACATTGTTAAGGAGCTGCTGGCTCCAATTTGCTCCAGAGGATCATAACTGGTGACGATTATGACATGGAAGCCAAAGCTCAATCATCCCAACGGAAGTTGCCGTACGAGTCAAGACCGAAAAAAGCGAGCCAAGTTTGGTCGAATGTGAAGATTTTGCATACAGTTTTCTACGATTGCAGGGGCGTGGTGCATCATGAGTTATTACCACAGGGTAGAACGGTCAATAAGGAATATTACCTGCAAGTTATGCGCAATTTGCGCGAAGCAATCCGCCAAAAACTCCCGGATTTGTGGAATAACAAAAATTGGCTTTTGCACCATGATAACGCCCCTGCTCATACATCATTGCTTGTGGGTGAATTTTTGGCTAAAAACAATACACTAATAATGTCGCAGCCACCGTATTCCCCAGATTTGGCCCCCTGTGACTTTTTCTTGTTCCCGAAACTGAAGAGGCCCATGAAAGAACGACGCTACGTTATGATTAAGGAGAAAAGGACGACATCGAAGGAGGAGTTGTACAAGATCTCAAAAAAAATATTTTTTGAAGTGATTCGAGGATTGATAAAACGTTGGCACGAGTGTATAATATCTGGTGGGGATTACTTTAAAGGGGACAAAATAGATATTCATGAATAAATAACTAACACAAAATTTGCGATACTTTTTGAACAGATCTCGTACTTTGTGTATTAAGTAAAAGCTTATGAAAAAAATAATTTGTATGTTATTTACACTAATTTTATTAAATAGGCGTTTATAATAAACAGCTTACGAAATAAACATTACTTTTAAACGTTAGGCCGAAGAAGTGTACGCTGCGTTGTATAATTCTAATTGGAATGCGGCAAGTAAATCATTTAAAAGGTCTCTGCTGATTATGATGATGCGTACAGTGGAACCTGTAATATTAACAATTGGAGGAGTATTTCCATTGACTCTGCAGACATTCGTGGAGGTAAAAATTATAAGTTATTTTAGAATCAAAAAGATTTCGCTTTCAATTTAAATGGTTTCAGATACTGAGGGCTGGATATTCAATTGCGTTATTAATTAAGAAATAAGAGATTTACCTACCGGAATAACCCACACTCACAATTATTAGTATTTGCTATAATAAAACATGTTGTATTGTAATAGAAATAATTAAATGCTTGTTTAATTTATTGGGCTTTTCGTGATATGCAGTGTGTCCAAAGTACAAGGCTTTTAAAAAATTTCACTCAAGAAGTATTTAAGTTAAATAAGCGTAATATTTTAAAAGCTTTTACCCGTGGCGCTGATGTCCTAAATACGCGTCAAAGATCATCGAAAATACA